CCTCTTCGCCACAACCGAGCCAGGTCAGGGCACGGTACGCCGTGACGTCAAGACGACGTTCTTCCTTGAAAAAAAAAAACGCAAACAAACAAAAAGCACTAAAAAGCAGCGTGTGAGATTTTTTTTTTTTAAATCGTGATGGAGGACCAGTATTGCCGATACCTTAAACTTATAAAGGGAGCTTATACAGGGCAGAGCAGTGTGTCATCATTTAAGATAAAAAAAAAAACATTAATTAGCAAATTCTGAATATATTTTAATACTAACTAAATAGATGTGTTTATTACTTCCCAAAATAATTAGTCAACACAATAAAACACCAAAACCAAGTTTTTTGGAATCTGGAACGTAAATGTGTCTGTCTTTAAAGCACTTTTGGTCGATTTCCGTTTTACATAAATAAAAGACACTTGAAAGTCAACAGAAAGGGTTCTTATATTCAGACATTTTTCATAGTTCATGTTTGTGGTATGGAGGGAAATATTTACTTCTGCTTCCTGATCTTGCTCTATGTCGTTTGTGGATAATTTGTGATGATTTGTATAGCAATAACAATTTGTTTTTAAGAGTGTCTTATAGAGTAGTTTGTCAGTGCAGCCGCATTTAAAATTAAGTGGTGTGCAAAAGAAGAATGAGAGAAGAGAGTAGAATGAGTATACAACCAGGTAGTGATGGTGTGATAAGGCCCCGGGAGCTTTGCTTCACCAAAGGCAGCGCACACGAAGCGCCGTTTAACAGCTCAAGTGCTGACACCTGCTGGTCATTTGATGTTCAGCAGCCCTGCTGTTATATATGGATACGTACCAGTGGATCTGTAAACTAGGGATGGATATCGTCACTGACTTTTACAACTGATTCAATTCTGATTCTGAGTAGGATGAAGTTTACACTTTTTCTGTTCCTACCTCTTTATTTCAAATTCCATTATTTACAAGTCAGAATTCAATGTTGAAGGTGGCTGCGCGTGAAAGGAGTGGGACGTTCAGCGACTGCTCGGATTTTGGCAGGGTCTGTCTTCACCTGTCCCCCTGCCAGAATATAGAAAAGTGACGGATGGTGAATGGAACCCGCACTTCTCTGTTTTTACATACAGATGATTTTCCAGTAGCCACTCAAGCACAGTGTGAACATGGACTTGAGGCTCTTGGAGATCCTTGGACAAACACGAAAAGGTTTAGGAAGTCTCTGAGAATGTCATTCACTAGTGCCTGAAAAACTGCTGGTGCATTTATGAATGGGATGACCCAATGGTATATTAAAGCCTGTTTTCCATTCACCGCCCCCCTCTGATGTGGAATAGTGGGGGTTACACAGGTCCAGTTTTGTGAAGATGGTGGCGCTGTGGATGGGTTCAGAGTTTTTTCCAACCTGAGATGAGATCCAGCACGGATAGCTGTTGGACCAGTGAAGAAGAGATGACCGCGCCGGTCTTAAATGCAGCCATGCTGATTGTCACTTAATGAGAAATAGGTCAGTAAGAGTGTCCGAGGTCCTGCCCAGGGGTGGAACTGCATGGGAAAACACAGGAGGAGATGGAAACACAATGGCCGCTCACACAGAACTTAAAAACAAATACTACTGTTCTTAAGGAACACTCCTTAATAGATTTATTGTGACGCCCCGCAGTGGTTGAGGGGATGTGGCTTTTTGTGAATAGGACACTGCCTTTCCATATCACAGGTTTTCTTACCCAAACTGTCCTGGACAGTTTTTTCCTGTGAGCAGAGACTAAACCCTTTCTTGCTGTAATATCTGGCTTAAAGTGATCTGTTGGAGAATCGCCACAAGTGGGATATAAGAGTTTCATATTCAGTCTTTTCTTTCCTGTTTTGTTGTGAAGAAATGCCAGTTGTCAGACATATTTTTGCAAGAATGTTAGTCCCGTGGCAAAAGGTTGATTTGTGTCTCTTCAATGAGCAATAAGCTCAACTAATAATTCAGGAATTTAGAGGAGAAATATTTGTCTCTGTTTCATGGTAAACAACAGATCCTTTCAAATATGATCCAGTCTTAAATGATATTTTGGAAAAGACAGTCTTTGTAAAAGGCTGCAAATAATCTTTCACTTTGTTTTTTTAAATATTGACTATGCACATGTATATTTTGCCCACATAATTAGCAGTATGTGTAAACTTTTCTCAGTTAATAAATTGTCCTTGATTTATGCAGAAAACTTCTGCTGTGGAAACTGAAATAATTGTTTCTGCTCGAACCTACATTTATTCATGTTGTGATTGTTATTGATGGTTTCAAGTGTTTTGTGGCCAAGAACAGTCAGAAGATTAGTCAGCATATGAACCTTTTTAAGGAAACAGTTACATTTTGGGGGTATTTATACAATTAAAACTAGCATTGCACAGAGTGCATGTAGTGAAGTAAAACTTACTAGCCTCTCCCAATTCGAGTGAATAATTGTATCGTCGTCTGGTATAATGTAACACAAATATTTGTAGTCAGCCAAAATTCAATTTTTCAATTCAATTTTATTTACACAGCACCAAATCACAACAACAGTCACCTCAAGATGCTGTATATTGTACAGTAGACCCTACAATAATACATACAGAGAAAAACCCAACAATCATATGACCCCCTGTGAGCAGCACTTTGGCGACAGTGGGAAGGAAAAACTCCCTTTGGACAGGAAGAGATCACAAACAAAACATTTACAGACCACATTTTAATATCACTGTAATATTTAATTGACACACATATTTCACACATCACCAGAAAAACTCTCAGTTCATCAAAAATGTTCCAGGTTAACTCTTTTTTTTTTTTTTTTTACGTCAACTGGTTAGATTTGCTTAAATATTTTACTCTCTGCTTTCCACATATTGCATATGCAGATTTATCAATTTGAGTATGTTGTTTTGTTTTGACCAGATTAAAGATCTCGCGGTAAAGGCTGCTATCTTCAGTTCATGCAAATAGATGTTCAAGTTATCTTCAGGTAACCATGAAAATGATGCTGATTAAAATATTTGTAATAAAGTTGTTTTCTTCTGCTACCACCGAGCAGCTGTTTGCTCAGTATAATGAAACATCTTTGCAAACACGGTAGAAAAAAATGCATTTTTCTTTCTGAGGTGTCTGTAGTGGAAGTAACACCCTGGATGTCGATTTGCAGGGCCTACAACTCCAATACAAGGAATCTGTTTTGGCTCTTTCCCATTCAGAGTTCAGCTGGAGTCGATGTGGATGAGGGGACTCGCCCAGTCCCAACTACCGTGAAACTGTCCAGGTGTCTGTCCTGGATAAGGAGAAACCTGAGTAGCCTTGTAGGTCAAACCTTATCAGTCCCACCTGTTCCCTGTTGATCTTTCCTGCGAGGAAAGATTAATGTATAATGGCCAGGGTAGCCTGTAAGAGCTCTTTGCACTAATAAAGAATAACACTCAGACTTTTACTGTTTCACAAAAGGGTAAAAAGTTAGTGTCCACAATTTAGACTTTAATTGCAAGAAATGTTTTCAAAGCAATTTAGCAGGAGCGCTGCAAAGCAAAATCAAACCAAATAGTAATACTCAAACTAATTAAAAAACATAATTCAATCAACTGAACAATAGATATCTATACAAGTGGGAAGAACCCAGAAACCCGTCTTTCACTGATGTCACATCTTCACACTTTGGTCATTCAGTCACGTTGCTGTCTGATCTCCACCCACACCTCCTCTGTCTTTCTACAGCCTCATCATGTTATTAGAATCACTATTATTCTACTTTCTGATTCATTATACTGGTTAACTTAAACATGTTTGTTATTTATATTCAACATGCCAGTATTGAGCACAATTAACCCTCAGTGAAACATAAGTTATGGTAACTGGTACACATTAGTGTTGGGTTAGACTTCAGTCTTTCTACCCCAGGTCGTCATAATTTTCAGATCAAACAAACTTAAATGTTAGACAAAGATAACACGAGTAAGCACAAAATGCACTTTCTAAATGAAGGTATTTATTATTAAGGGGAAAAAGATGTAAACCGACGTGGCCCTGTGTGAAAGAGTGATTGTCCCCTAAACCTAATAACTGGTTGGGCCACCTTTGCAGCCATCAACAGGTATGACATCACTGCCTATCGATCCATCAGTTCTCCTCAGGCTTGGCAGGACCCGACCTCCAGTGACGGCTTGGCAGGTCCCTCCCACTCGCTGACCTCCGGCCCAGGCTGAGGTGGGTGAGCTGCTGGTGGAAGGGGAGAAAGCTCAGCTCCCCAGCAGCGGCACCGCAGACCACGCCCCCACCACACGGTAATAAAAAACAAATACATAACAACATAACTATGGAAAGAAAAAAAATGAACCATGGTTGCTAGCATGGCTTAGTACAGATCGCTTCCAACTAGTGAAGTATGTTATTTTACACAATGGAACTACTTTCACCAGTTCAAAAAAATAAAATAAATCAGAGATCAGTTTAAACTATTGTACTCTACTCACCGATAAACCAACTCCAGCCCTCGGGAGCTACCGTCCCCCAGCTTTTAGATGCATCCTTGTTCCGACACACCTGAACCACATGATTGGCTTGTTACCAGGCCTTTGCCAAACTTGACGGCATGCTGAAGAGGTAATCCAAACATTTGATTCAGCTGTGTTGGAGTAGGGATGCATCTAAAAGCTGGGGGCAGTAGCTCTCGAGGGCTGGCGTTGGACGCCCCTGCTTTAGGTCATGAGCTCAGACAACCTACTAAACTGCTGCAGGGACATTTTTGTTTCCCTTCAAACTTTACACTGAAACAATCCCATGTTTGTTTTTAGGTTTGAATTCAAGAAGTGAATAAAATGTAGTCTTATCACCGTTATGTTGGCTAAATTCCTTCAAACTTTACACCTTTTACTTTCTAAGCTTCATTGTGTTCAGTGTTTTTCTAAGAACGAATGCAGCTCAGGCAGACGTTCAAAACCAAAACAAAACTACACTGTATGAGAGTGCTGCTGGGAGTAGCATCTAAACAAACTCAATATGTACAAAATGACTGTGAGTCAAGTACGTTCACATGATAAATGTTTTTATTTACACGTAATCCACGTTGAGAAATGGGGACGAGACAAACCAGAAAGAAGCAGACCAACACCAACAACCTCCTGGACAGGAAAAGAGACAATTAGATATATCATCACACTGCACAACACTAGTGGTGCAACGGATCAAAAGCCTCACGGTTCGGTTCGGCAAAAAAAGACAAAAATTGAACATTTAATTATTTACTTATTGAAGGTTTTTTTTGCCTGTTAAAAACATTCAACTCAACACTCATTCCACACAACTATTAAAAACATTATGGTTCAATATAGTGCAGTACAGTCTTTGTATCTACCACTCAGTTCAATTTTATTCATAAAGCTCCAAATCACAACAGCAGTCGCCTCAAGGCGCTTTATAATGTAAGGCAGACCCTACAATAATACACACCGCTCATTGCATCGCTGTGATGGTCACGTAGCTTTCCGTTGAGCTGGAGCTCCACCCGTTTGTAGTTGGGCAACAGAAGATGCCTGGGACAGCTCAGCCATAACTTTAAACTTTTCCTGCTCATACATGCTTGGAACGATCTTGCCACTAAAGTGGACGCGCGACAGGATATCATAGCGTGGCTCAAGCACGTCCATCACAGTTTAAACACCTTGTTTGGCACAACAGAATACGGCCTCCCGTCTGCAGCTAAACACCGCAGTAGCTTCTGTAACAGCTTTAGCCCGGTCGGACTGGGCAGCAAAGGGCTGCTTAAATGCCACAAACTCCTCTGCTCCTCCACTTGGACCGCCAGCGCTGACCATAGCTATCGCTTGACAGACCCACCACGCCACCATACACATACTTTTTTTCGAATCTTTGGATCACGTGCGTGCCGAACCGTGGAGTGGGATCGGTTTGGATTACGGATCAACCGTGATCCGTTGCACCACTACACAGCACCAATAATAATAGTAAGATGTATAACTGATCAGTGATTCATATTTAAACTGAAACATTACATGTATAAAGCCTAATTTACACCACGGAGCCCTGTTTGTGAAGTTGGATTTAAGAACATGTTTACAGCCATCTCGTGCCAGTGCTGGTAACAGACAGGACCAGCAATGCAGTGGAAAGCAACGAGACCGGAACATTAAAAGCAGTTTAAGAGTCTTTTGAATTGCCCCAAGCAATAAAGAAAAAACAACAAGGGTTTACCATACTGTCCACTGTCACTCTTCTGTCTCTTAAGCAGTAAGTCAGTTTACATTGTTGGCTAGCTAGGCTACGGTTTATAGAGCACTTTATGAACGAGGGCAGTGAGGAGGAGAGCTTGTTTGAGTCAGCTGCACCTGATGGCACTAAATATGTTCCAAAAACTTTAGAAACCTACTTCTTAAATGCATCTTTACAGGCAGTGTTAAATCTATCAGTTGTTTGTGAAGGGCGCTCTTGTGTAAATTAGCTTTAATACTTGTAGTGTCCACTTAAATTTCAGTATTTAGAGGCGCTCACCTGTGAGTTTTGTAGGTTATTCCAGGCCATTCCTCACTTTGTACTCATGAGTGTCTGTGCTGTGCTGTTTGAAGAGCTGCAAATGGAAGGCCGAGAAGCCACAAGTCACTTACATGTGCGTTTGTCAATTCCCTATTTTAAATACATCACATCGTAATCTTAACTCCTGTATTGTTCCGCAGATCTACAAGAAATGGCTGTCAAATGTCTGATTGTAAGACTAACATTGAAGGAACTATTTTTTTTAAAAATCCTTAAAACCACTTAAATTCAGGTGCCAGACACACTATGGACCGAGCTTCAGAACAAAACACATGTTACAGTAAAAAAAAAAACATTTAAAAAAATCTTGCTGCTCATTGCTGCCCTCTACTGTGTAAAATTAAGACAAGCATAGAGACAACACTAAGCACCATCTTTGTCACGCTTTTAGCCTGTAGCAGCGGTCCCCAACCTTTTTTGCGCCACGGACCGGTACCGGTCCGAGGCCCGGGGGTTGGGGACCGCTGTTCTATAACTTATATAATAGTTTGCATGACTTTGATTGTCAAAAGAAGCCGGAGTGCCCAGAGAGAGAGTATCTGTAGGCACAGGGAGAACACGCACACTCGACACAGAGGGTCACAGCTCTGGTTCAAACTGGGAACCTTCATACTGTGAGGTAACAGCCCAGCCAGGATTCAGGCTCAAGAAAATCACTCTGTAATCATTCTGCCTGACATGAATACATGCATTTAAAGGCAAGTCAAGAGTGTAAACTTCCAGTTTGATGCATTAAACAGAATTCAACCAGAAACAAATAAAAGGGAAACTCTGACAACATATAGTCTGAGGCAGTCTAGAATGCAGGTTTACCCTGACATGAAGGGAACTCTGAGTTAGGGCTGGGCCATTTTATACCTTTCACGGTAATACCGGTACAATGTTGGGCAACGATAAGAAAATGAAATATCGCGATAGAATATGGGTAAAACGCGCATGCACGGTGCCTTTATTTTCATACGCACACGGTGGAAAAAGCATGGCAGCGACAGAGAATGAGAAAGGCGAAAGTGGATCGCTGAATGAAACGAATCAGAATTGGTTTGTAAAAATGGTTCAGTGGTGTGGAACTGGTTTAGCTTTCGTCCGTCAGATACACACCAAAGCACAATGTCTGGTAGAGCGTGCTAGCGGATCATCGTTATTACCGTGTTTTTTGGAAAATAAGTCGCTATTAAAACCTCTTTTTAAGTGTTGTGGATATTCTACATGGTTATGCTGAGGATATGTCGGCCAGTTTCCACTGGAAATACCTTTTGGTTAAACTGTCAGCGAGGAATTTGCATTTGCACTGTTAAATGTTTATATAACTTTAATGCAGATAAAAAACAGCTGCTTGTTTCAGTGAAAATACATTGATGGTTTTTTTTGCACCAATAAAGTTGTGGAGTTTTAAAGTACTTTGTCTGGCGTCAGTTATATCGTCAATTATATCGTTATGGCAAATTTCAAAATATATACCATGATAACTATTTTTGGCCATATTTCCCTGCCCTACTCTGAGTTTTTTTTAATCAAGTGAGCCAACTTAAACTCTGAAACAAATACTAAGGTAATACACTCTGAAACCAATCTGCTGGCTAGCACGTTTTCTCCAACAAACTAAGTTACGTGACATTGGTATAGGTTGCATTCACATAACATTAAACTCCACAGAGCCTATGCAAACAAATGCTGCACTCTGAATACAACTCAAGTCACAGCGAATGCACTCAGACCTGATTGAACTACATAATCAGCTTTTTCAGGACCAAAGTCTCAGTTCTGCATCAACTCACAGTGGAGCTACTTCTAAAACAGCACCTTGGTGTACATATGAAATGATGCACTCACCAAGCCCCATAGGAAAGCAGATGTTCCAAAAGCAAGACCCACTCTGAACCAGTTGGGGTTGGTCATATCAGGCTTGGAGCTTGTGAAAGCAGACCTGCAGCCAGCTGGAACAATGAGAAACCACAACAACATGAAAAACACGGTCTTTGTATGGGCAGCCAGTACTCATACAGTCCAAGTAACGGTAAATGGAATGGTTCTTATATAGCGCCTTTCTACTTCCCTGTTCATACAAGCACCTTTTATTAACTCTAACATTTACACACATCCACACTAACGGATACATTGGAGAACAACTTGGGCTTATCTTGCTTAGGGACATTTGGCAAGTCAAGGATCGAACCACCAACCGTGATTAGTAGATGACCTGTTAGATGTTTTTTAATCTTTACACAAAACAAAACATGCACTGAAAACCTGGGTTGAAAGCAGTTGCTAATACTTTACCAGTCTTTAGTTTTGATGTTTTATTTTACCCCTTAGTTATAAAGCCAAAACCAATTCATGCTACCAGAATGCTAAACTAAGCTAAGCTAAGCTAAGCTAAGGTCAGCCTGCAAAACAAACAGTCACTGTTTTAAATAACGAGCCAAATCACGTAGCCTTAAAAATTTTAACGACGATAATTAACAGCTTTTCGTGATTTTACCTCTGCTGACGAAAACAGCCCTGGACAGCAACCGGTTGAAAGTCATTTTCGCTGAAGAGAGCACCTTCCTCTCGACTCGCACGTTCGCACCGCGGTTGATTAAACTTCCTGTCAGACCTGATACCAAGATCACCGATAAATCAAACGACCACTCCGGAGCATCCTGCCCCTTTACTGGAAACAAACATTTGATTATGGTTAAACTGGTATCTTTATACAGACATAATCCAATTTTACGTTATACAATAAAATTAACGAATGAATTTGTCAGTTATTATATTTAAATATCCAGAAATTACTCTTTACCACTACAGTGAAAGAAATATCACTGCGTATAACGTGGTTTAATTGCGGTGTCATCTGATGCACGGTGAGGTGCCAGTCAAACGTGTGTTCGCCCACCACCTCCGACCTGTGAGCAGGCTCACAGAACAGGCTGACCCGGAGGAGAAGCGCGTCGGCCATTTTGCTCGGAAGGGGGCCTTGGCGTCAACACGTGAGAAAGAGAGGTGTCTCAAAAGATCGAAACAGCCTGGTCTCTCTACCTCAGCCAGGACATTATTATTCATGTTTAAACCGAAAGAGACATAAGAAGCTACTACAATGCCCACAATCACCCTGCCGCCGAAAGAGAACGCGCTCTTCAAAAGAATTCTGGTAGGTTAAAATACCCGAGATCACGTTAGCTTGCTGGCTAATGGTAGTTTGCCAAGTAGCCTTCAGTTGCGAGATCTACAAGAGACGTGCCAGTGAATTAGGGATGTGTTCGCTACGCCAGACACACTGCGATTAAGTCGGCAGTTTTATTAAGCAGTAGCTGGAACACCGCGAAACCAGTCACGTGTTGTAGTTCTGGTGCCTGGCCATGGGGACGTATTCGGCTCGGACGTCTATGAGCACGTTTGTCTGGGGTCTGTTTCCAAAACAGTTGCACCTTGTTGGACTAGTTAAGTCCAGCGGCTGCAGGAGCTGGTCAGCCCAGATGGAGGTACGAGGAGCTTCCTCTCACTGCTCTACTGATCATTTACAGTGTCGCATAGATAAGAAGGCGCAGCGGTTTATTAAATACAGCAACGTGAAAACCGGCACATCGAAACACGTCAGCCGCTTCTGTTATAGTTAAGAGACTCGAAAACACGCATGCATGTTGATGCCCTCTGCTGCCGTTTGACAGCTCCTCGCTGTGGCGTTACACTGCATCAGACGCATTATCAATAATAAGCTTTAATGACGGTTTGAATTGAAATATATGGAGAAAGCATAAAGTCTTAAAAACTGCTGTAAATGTTCTGCAGGCAGGTCTGCGTGGTCACAATAACAGACCCTTGCGCTGACTGTACGGTGATGACATTTACGTCACTGGGCCGTGGGGATCCTCGCAGACTTGTTGATGCTGCTTTAGGAGCATGTGGTGCTTTTCCTGCTGGCTGGAGGAAGGACAGAGTCACTGGAACAGTGTTTTCTTTTGCAGACCTACAGTAATGTACTGTTCGTGGACTTTAAGATGACTCGCTGCAGTGTCAGGCACCTGATATAATGTGCTTTGTCCTTTTTCACAGAGGTGTTATGAACACAAGCAGTACAGGAATGGTCTGAAGTTCTGCAAACAGATCCTGAGTAACCCCAAGTTTTCTGAGCATGGAGGTAAGAACCTGATGCACCGTGCTCACTGTCAGCCTCCAGTCGTTTTAGGGGCGACGTGATATTTAATGATATTAACACAATGTGACACAGTGATCATTGTGTACATTTGGTTGCACTCCCATACAGTGGAATAAGCACCAGAATCCCAGTGTGAATTCATCCAGGAACACTGGGATTAAACAGCTGTAAACAACTGCCGCTCTTTCTAAACTCCTACATTCAGTATTCTAAAGTTTAAATCCAAAACTAAAAATGTTGCCAGTAAAACTTTGGGTCTGTTATCTTGGACACTGAATTAGTATTAAAATTCATTCTTAATATCTGCACCATCATAACGTTTTCAGCAGCACAGACACTTTGCATCAAAGCACAGGCCAAAGTTCAGACTGCTTGCTTTTCTTTATTGCTGCTGCCACACATGCTAAGGCTTACAAACATTACATTGCTTACATTAAGATTCTTTTATTTGACTTTGACCTTTGATTCTGCTTCAGATTTTTTCTCGGACCTTTTAAAATGTATTTAATTTTGCAATTAAGAAAATTATTTCTTCGAAATGTAAAATTTTAAAATGCACATAAATACATTTGGAAAGGTCTTTTTTGACAGATGTTTGCAGCTGGATGCAGTTTCTATAATGGACCCAGAGCAGATCACTCTGAAAGACCTGCGTTTTTTTTGCTCTTTTGAATATTTATTATTGCTCGTTAATAAGAGAGAATTTTTTTTATCTGATTACTCGATTAATTAATGGAATTATTGATGGAGTACTTGCTTAATAAAATAATTGATAGCTGAACCCCTGATAGTTGAATGTATGAATAAAGAAATTAGTGGTGGCTCAACCCTTTTGCACTCTATGTAAATGTCTTCATTTCCAAAAGAATGTCATGCTTGGAATAATTGCTGCCTGTGGTACTTTGAAAAATCCCAAGTGGAGTCACATGTTCAGAATCTTGATATTGAAAACTGTTCAGTTCAATATTAGTTATGTTGCCGACGACAACAACAGAACCGTAAGTGAGCAAAAACTGGGAATAAGATGGTTGCGTGTCATAAGTATCTGTTCTGCTGATATCTCTGTGATGAAGCAAACTTCCCCTCACCGAGTTTCAAATTGATACCATCGGTGTATTTACTAATAATCCTGGACAGTTTGGTCAAGGTCAGAGGTCAAGGTGTCTGAAAGTCCTGTGAAGAACTCTAATAACTTGAGAACAAGGTGATTAATGCCATAGGTGCACCTACCAGGAGGCTGACGAGTTCTGCTCTCCACCACTAATATGTTGTCTTACTGTTAGGGTAAGATCATTCCCAGCTCTGGCTTCAGGAGCAGACAGACTTTAATGAAGTCCAAAGCAGTAAGGAAGCTTCGTCACTGTTAACGCCTCCATGATGAGCTGCGATTCAGACTGTGAGCCAAAGTTGATCAGTTATTATCACAGCACAGAGGTTCCTGCATCATCTGGAAAGCCTGGAGCCCAGAGGAGTGCAGGCTTTTTAATGCAAGCTGCTGAGGTTTTACAGTTTGACGAAACTCAGTAAAGATATAATGAGCAATGTTTAACATAAAAGCTGCTAAATTACTCTCTGCACATATCTCTGTGAAGAAAGTAACATTTAAGAGTGGTGAAATGCGTCACATCGTGTCAGCTTTCTCTGAATGCGTCACTCCTTCCTGCTCCAGAGACGCTGGCCATGAAGGGTTTAACTCTCAACTGTCTGGGCAAGAAGGAGGAGGCGTACGAGCTGGTGAGACGAGGCCTGCGCAACGACCTCAAGAGCCACGTCTGTATCCTTTCAGTGCTCCTGCCTTTGTTCAGCTTAACAGCAGCTGCTGAATCCACTCTGAGAAACCTGTGAAAAATGTCTGCCTGAGTTCTCATATGAACTCGTGTAACGTGTGGGTAACTGTGTTTATGCGTGATTTTCTCTGACGCTCTGACCGTGCCAGGCTGGCATGTGTATGGCCTGCTGCAGCGCTCAGATAAAAAGTATGACGAGGCCATCAAGTGTTACCGTAACGCTCTGAAGTGGGATAAGGACAATCTGCAGATTCTCCGAGACCTCTCCTTGTTGCAGATCCAGATGAGAGACTTGGAAGGATACAGGGTGAGGAATGACAAATGAGACCGTCTGAATCAAAAGATGGCCGTAGAAGGCTGACGCTGGGCAAACTGATCTCGTGCGTCAGTTTCCTTTTTAGCGTCAAAACACGGAAAGTCTGATTGTAAACACGGACAGTTGTGGACTAACATTGCTGCTTCCGTGCGCATGGCGCCTCTTTCCCTCTCCAGGAGACTCGGTACCAGCTGTTACAGCTCCGCCCAGCCCAACGAGCTTCCTGGATCGGCTATGCAGTGGCTTATCACCTGTTAGAGGACTTTGACATGGCTGCAAAGATTGTTGAGGAATTCCGCAAAACACAACAGGTGAGTAGCTCTGGATAAGAAGGCCTTCATGACCTTAACTAAGCAGTGATCATTTAAAGTATTCGAGCTGTTGCAGAAAAAGCCTTGTTCTCATCGACTTCTGGAAGTCTGCACGTCTTTCTGCAGCTACACTTGCTGCCACTTGGTGGCAGGTTTAAGGGACATCTGCACGGGCTTCATTTTTCTGACCAGGAAGTTAGGCTCGTCTGTTTGGCTGTCTGTAGTGAGAAGCAGCAGAAGGTCTGATCGATGCATTAGTGTGCACTCTGGGGTGTCCAGTCCATCCAACCTTCTAGGAAAATTACTACTAATAATAAAAATAATATACGTGAAGTTCAAAGTGAAACATCCGGCCTAATATGGGCATTTCAAGTCCATGTGGCAATGTATCATTTTTTGTTCCTTTTTATGTGCGTTGTTTTTCAGACATCGCCTGACAAAGTGGATTACGAGTACAGTGAACTGCTGCTGTATCAGAACCAGGTCCTAAGGGAAGCCGGGCTGCACAAGGAGGCCTTCGATCACCTCAACAGCTACGAGAAACAGATCTGTGACAAGCTGGCTGTGGAGGAGACCCGAGGTGGGTAGTGCAGTGTCGTGCTGCTCACTGAGTGTTTGCAGGTGGTAAACCAAGTCAAGTCTGCAGCTTCTGCAAATGTTTTTCAGCTGCTGTTCATAAGAAAATGAATTATCAGCTTCACTGGACTTTAGCGCCAACAAAATAGATTTGGCACACAAGAATAAAGCACACTCAGTGTACTGTGTGTAGTTAGTGGGCAGCACTGTTGGCTCACAGCAGGAGGTGGGCTCCTCACAGTTAGTGGGGTTAGCTGTGAATGTGACTGTAAATGTCTCTGTGTTAGCCTCACTCCATGTGATGTCACCTCGCTCCATGTGATGTCACTTCGCTCCATGTGATGTCACCTCGCTCCATGGTGCCTGGGATTAGTCCCAGCCCTTCCCTGCTACGCTCATTCCTTTTCAGTTTCACTTTATTTCTGAAGCGCTTTAACACAATATAACAGCTGTACACAAAAATAAAAGAATAAAGCAGTACAGGGTAAGAGGTTTAAGAAAAGGTGTGTTTTTAAATGGGTTTGAGAAGCAGCAAGAGATGGAGCCTGCCTGACCTGCAGTGGCAGACGAAACTGCAGAGGCTCCGTCTGGTTTTATTAAATGTCTTTGTGACAGTGAAGAGCACCTGGTTAACTGAGGAGCACTGACGGCATGTGGGAGGGAAGCAGCTCAGACAAATAAGAAGGGAAAGACCATTAAGACTTAATGGGAAGCCAATGAAGGGACACTGAACCTGGGGT